AGTGATGTTGTAAGTAAGAATTAGAACCAATAGGAGGAACCACCAGAAAGAAGAAACAAAACACAACAGAAGGAAAAAAAATAGCAAATATTATACTTCGATCTGCATTCAAACTTCATAGTTCTTTGGATGTGGATAGCATTTTCCGTCATGAGGCCTTTGGAGTAATCTTAGATCCTTGTATTGCTAAGAAGGATTAAGTCTATCAATATTAGTCATCACACAACGTAGCTATTACTGTGTAGAACATTCTCCTGGTTATGCTCACTTCACTCAGCATCAGACCATACGAGTCTTTCCAGGTTTTTCTGAAGTCTGCCTGTTCATCATTTCTTATAGCACAGTAGTATTCCATTGCATTCATATACCACAACTTGTTCAGCCATTCCCCAATTGATGGGCATCCTCTCAATTTCCGATTTTTGCCACCACAAAAAGAGCTGCTATAAATATTTTTGTACATGTGGGTCCTTTTCCCATTTGTATGGTCTCTCTGGGATATAGCCCTAAAAGTGATATTGCTGGATCAAAGGGTATGCACAGTTTTATAGCCCTTTGGGCATAGTTCCAAATTGCTCTCCAGAATGGTTGGATCGGTTCACAACTCCACTAACAATGCCTTAATGTTCCAATTTTCCCACATCTTCTCCAATATTTATCATTGTCCTGTTTTGTCATGTTGGCCAATCTGAACGGTGTAATGTGGTACCTCAGAGTTGTTTTGATTTGCATTTCTCTAATCAGTAGTAATTTAGAGTGTTTTTTGTATGACTATAGATAGCTTTAATTTCTTCATCTGAAAAACTTCCTATTAATATCCTTTGATGTTTCATCATTTTTATGGCACAGTAACATTCCATTATATTCATGTGTGACAGTTTCTTTAGCCATTCACCAATAGGAGGATACCCCTTTAGTTTCTAATTTTTGACTACCACAAAAATTACTGCTATAAACATTTTTGTACATCAAGGTCCTTTTCCTTATTCTTTTGTTTTTGGGGAAAGGAAGCCAATAGTGGTATAGCTGGAACAAGGAGTATAGATGGTTTCTTAACACATTGATTTTTCACTGCCTCCCCAAGTGATGGACATCTATTTTGTTTTCAATTCATTGTTGCTATAAAAATGTTGCTGTGAATAGTTTGGTGTGTATGGGATGGTTTTGCCTCTCTTTATCCTGCTTGGGACATATGTCAGACAGTGAGATCTCGGGATTAAAGAGTTAGTGCATTTTGGTCATTAAGTGGTACCATGTTAAAAATCATTCTTGTGTGTGGGAGATGAGTACCTTCTGTCAGGAGAGGCCAGGGAGGCATTTCCCTGGATCCTTGGGTCAGTCAGTACTTTCTCCAGTGGCAGTGCTGTTTTGTTTTGCTGATGAGCTGTGACTCTAGCTCTCTCAATTTAAGATATTATAGAATGTTACTGTCATGGCTGCTTATTTTCAGAGGCTTTGCCATATACAACTTCAAGTTAGTTTTGAAGAGCCAGTTTTGCTTTTTTTTTTTTTACTCACAAGTTTTTGCTTTTTGTGGGAAGTATTGAATCATTCAACAGCATTTATTAAGTGCATGCTGTGTGCCCAGCACTGCTCCTAGGAAGTGGTTCGAAGACATAAATAGCTGTCCTGCCATGAAAAAGGCTACTCTCCTATGTGGAAATAACATGTGTATGTTCAAGTGAATGCAAAAGAAATGTAAATGTAATGTGTTTGGGGAGGGTACCAACAACTGAAATCATCAGGAAATGCCTCCTTAATGAGAATGCTTCTTGAAGAAGTCTAGGGGTTTCAAGAATCAGAGGTGAGGAGGGGGACAGCCCAAGGCTTGGAGGCAGGAGGTGGAATGTGGTGAAGGGAGAATTGTATATAGGCCCAGGTAGCTTCATGAAGAGTGTGTTGATGCGACTAATGAGGACTCAGCCTGGCAAGATACCCTGGACTTCAAAAATTAGACAGCCATGTAACACCTAACAATGTTTCCTCAGAGCTGGGAGCTAGCGTATACTGTTTTATTTAATAATTCAGTCAAGTAACACTGTGCCCTCAATTTTTTTTTTGTTTTGTTTTAGGCAATGGGGTTAAGTGACTTGCCCAGGGTCACACAGCTAGTAAGTGTTATTATGTGTCTGAGGCCAGATTTGAACTCAGGTCCTCCTGAATCCAGGGCCGGTGCTCTATCCACTGTGCCACCTAGCTGCCCCCAAAAAGCAGCATTGTTTTTTTTTAATTTTTAGGCATTTGGGGTTAAGTGACTTGCCCAGGGTCACACAGCTAGTAAGTGTCAAGTGTTTGGTCTGAGGCCGAATTTGAACTCAGATCCTCCTGACTTCAGGGCCAGTGCTCTATCCACTGCGCCACCTAGCTGCCACTGTGCCCTCAATTTAAGCATTCCAATAACTTGAGTAATTAGTCATAACACGGTGTCCGCTGTCCCTGTAATGTTTTGTCCTTACATAGTATAGGATACTGTTCCCAGAACCAAAAAGAGAGAAAGTCTTGTTTTCTTCTTCCCATATAATACTCTTGAGGCCTGCTGTGGGGATGGTTTTACTGTGATGTTTATTTTTGTTTCTCTATATGTTCTTTGCTGTTCATTTTTAGTTAGATTTTTTCCATGGTAATGTTGTATTTAAACACTTTCATTTTTACTGGAAAGCAGTAGTGTGAAAAACAAATTTTCCCAATGACTCTGCTTTTCTTTGTGATCTTAAAACTTGTTTTTTCAGGGAGCCTTAATCCCAGATTTTCTTTGTTTTTTGTTACTGTTATTTGCTTAGAGGAATAGCTCATCCTCAGAGTTTGTTTATTTTAGCAGTCAGTTTTACTGCTGAAAAGAGATGATATTAATAAAAGGTTTGTTATGCCTTAAGTAAAATGAGATTATTCTTTTATTCTATTTCCTTCTTCTTCATTCCTTCTTTATACTAATTTGTGCATTCTTTTAGCATTTTATGGATTGCTCTGGCTCTTGTTGTGTGCCTCACATTGAACATGTTTGGAGCCTCCCTGTTCTCCCTTGTGAAGGTGAACTAAAACAGTTTGTACATTACAAGATTGTTCTCCGCCTTTTAATGTATCTATTGTTGTGGTGTGTATTGGGACTACTTTATAAATGATATTGAGTTTCTCTGTGATCTTGGGTGTCATTCCCAGTTTGAACATTAGAAGATTGTTCTCTGCCTTTTAATGTTATTGATTGTTGTGGTATGTGTTTAGACTGCTTAATAAGTGGTATTGACAGCAGTTTCTCTGTGACCTTGGATGTCATTCTCACCCTGTTCCAGTCATTAACAAATAATGCTGAGTCAGAGCCCTGAGTTCTTGAAGCCCAATGGCTCTGTTATAACTTCTGCCATGTGTAGCTTTGCTTTTATCTCGAAAACCAATCAGTTTGCTAGATGAACGTTCCAAGCTGAGGTTTTTTTGGGGGGGAAAGCACTTATTTGTTCTGCTTTTTCCCAGTCATCTCATTATTTGATTTGGAGTGAATTGCTATTTAGTTGCTAATTTTGTCTTGGGGAGAAAAATGGAAAGCAATTTTTAGGTATTCTTTTCTTAGATTTTGTCTTCTAAACAAACCTCTGCCATGCTGTGATAATAATTTAAAGAAAAGCTTTCATCTTTAAATTATAATTATATTGTTCACATGTGATCTAGTGTTAGCTTTGAACCATTTAGAAGTAAAAATTATTCAAAAGAAAGATTTAAATGGAGAACTTTTTATTTTAGTGAATTTGTTTTTAGAAAAGGAAATACTGGAATTGCTAGAAACTTAATTGAACTCACTGTTTTAAAAAAATAGGGGAAATCTTTTCATTTAGGGGAAGAGAATGTGTGTGACTCTGTGTGTGTGTGTGTGTGTGTGTGTGTGTGTGTGTTTAGAAGGAAGAGGGGCAGCTTGGTAGTATAATGGATAGAGCACTGGGCCTAGAGTCAGGAAGATCTGAGTTCAAATCCAGCCTCAGATACTCATTGGCTGTGTGACCCTGGATGAGTCACTTAACTTCTGTTTGTCTTAGTTTCCTCAATTGTAAAATGGGAATAATGAGGCTCAAATGAGATAATATTTGTAAAACTTGCCTAGTATAGTGTTTTGCACATAGTAGTAAATGCTTATCCCTCCTCTCTCTCAGATTGTTAGTGAAAAGCCAGTTTTATATATTCTTTGCCAAGATAATCTAATACATTTAACATGTATAAGATGCTTCCTCTTCTTGAGAAAAGGTTATATATAAAATAAAGTTCTTACATTTTTTGAATTATGAATTATTCTCAGTATTTTGTATTTCTTATCATACATTCATAGTCTTACAGTTTTGGAAATTTTGAGTCATTTTATTTGTATGTATTTAATGAAATATTTTTTATATTTCTAAATGTTAGCTTAGTAATGCCAGATTATTTCACTTGAGTTTTACTTTAATACAGAAACAGTAGCTCCCAATAATTTGCTTCCAGAGAAGTGTTCATTATCTGCATTCTTATGGTTTCTAATTCAGATGAATCAAATTGTTTATTTTTCCTATTTCACATACAGTTCTACCATCTTAAAAACTCAGTACCAAAACTTAAGTTTTATTTAACTCTCCTTTAGTAGAGATCTTTTTGAAATTTCTTAGTATGCAAACATTTTCTTTTAATCAGTCTACAAAAGTGCTGCTGAGTCCATCCATCCTACCCCAGAGTCAGAGTGATGGTAACCTCTGGCCTAGAACACCATTGTTAATTCTTCCATTCTCGTAGTCCCCCCTTTTTTTTTTCATTCTGGCCTCTTCATTGCTTGGCCAACACCTCCCCCCCCCCTTCCTCCCATGGTTGCATCTGGTTGATGGGCTCCCTTGGAAGTGCAGGCTGATGTGTTGTTTCACAGCTACACATGCTTAGTGTTGCACATCAAATGATGTTTTTTGCATGTATGTTCTTTTGTGTTTTGATTGTCAGATGTCAGATAATAAATGTAGGATAAGCAACAGGGATCTTTGTTTTTATTCTTACAGTAACAAATACTTTTAAGAGAGATGAATTTGTTACTTCAAAAGCTCCTGCTGTCGACTTAGACCACAAGTTTAGATGCACGTTCATGGACTGTTTAAAATTCTTCCGCAAAGCTAAACTCCTGCACTATCACATGAAATATTTCCATGGAGTGGAGAAGACACCAGAACCTGAGGAGAATTCAGTGAAGAGGCACGTCCAGACAAGAGGTTCATTAGCTTCTGAAAAGTCCAGTCAAGATGGGCTAACCAGAAAGCGGATCACTTCTAGTTCCTTGTGTAAGTATCTGGGTGCCATATTGATTAACAGAGAGTTCCTGATGCCCAGTTCTTATTGACCGTTTTTCTTTTTGCTGGTAGAAGTGGAAAGCATGCACTGAGGTCTTCTGCCTGTTTCTCTTATTGATTACCAGGGCAGTGACCACAGTATTAGAATTGCCTGCCAGCAGACTGTGGCCTGTTGAAAGCATTGCCTTCAGAAGCAAGAGGCCAGAGTTCTGTTCTGTTCTCCTCTGCTTCTTGGTTGGGCCTCTCTTAGGTAACACATCTATAAAATGGACATCCTATCTGACCCACTTGAATGAAACTGAAATCCTGGATAATCTCCAGTTCTGCGATCTATGATTTAGATAATTTAGTCAACTAAATTATTTAAATTAATAAATTTTAAAGCACTGAGCTTTCTGTGACTTGTGCTTTGCTTCTTCCACAAATACATTAAATTTTTCATTGAGAAATCCCACATTAACCTGATAGTAAACCTTTCTGCAGACTGTGGAAATGCTTCCCAGGCTAACACAGTGGCTAACATACATGTTCTTAGTCAAGTATGTGCAATTTTGTTTGTTGTAAATCCCTCCTGAAGCATTACCTATGTGACATTATGAACTCTTTACTGAAAAGAGTGTCTTTGCTTCCATCATGTTTCAGATGCTACAAGGACTGTTAGGATGAACATACATACATATATATATATGTATTTTTTTTTTTACATTTTAGTATCAGTGACTCAGTTGTGGTTCCCTGACAGCCTGTGTAAGTTCTCAGAACCTTCTGAAATAGCCCAGGCAGTACCCCAGGGGGAGGATTTTCAGAGCCTGCTGGTGCTGCCCTTCTGCAGCTGCTCTGCTTTTTGCCTTATCCTCTCCGTCTTACCACTGCTTTTCTCTTCTTTACTTCCTCTCCTCTAATCTCCATTCTTGTGAGTCAGGTCAAATCAACCTCTGTAATGTTGCTGGGGTCTTGTGGTCCTAATAGAATTTCTAAACACCTTATCTTGAACATATAAGCATTTGGAATAGTGTTCAGTTTGATAGCATTTTCTGACTTTTTGGTTTAAAGTTGTTTAAATTTGATTAAAGATGGCCTTAGATTTATTTCTGTCTTTTATCATTATTGTAAGCTGATAAATTCTCTTAGAAATAAGTACATATTGCTTAGTTTAAAAAAAAAAGATCATTTGCTGAGTGATGTTGCTTGCTTTTTTGAAGGGAAGAGTAGCAACTCATTCCCATTTTATTAGTTGTGCCATAAATTTTGTACTGTATTCAGCGTGAGTAGAGTTGCATAGTGGTTGGAGGGCTAACTTTGGAATCAGGAAGAACTGGATTCAGGTCCTGTTTCTGACACCTAATATTTGTAAGTTTATGTCACTTAAACTCTCCCTCCCCTAGGCAATTCTCTTAAGGCTAGTAAGTGACTAGCAATACTCTAACTTTCACTGGTGGACTGGGAGGGAGTTTTCTTCATTGATGAAATCACAGATCTGGAGGCTTCTCCTTCACCTTTTCAAAACTGACATATACTACATAGAAATATATATTAAATGACAAAACTGTAAAACCCTTCCCACTCCTTACTTCCCCCTACTCTCCTTTCCTCACTGGTCTTCATTTCCTCTTATGTAAAATGAAGTGTGCTCTTTAAAGTTCTTTTTAGCTCAGTTCTCTTTCTCCTACTCCAGCCTCTGTCAGAGCTAAATGTAGATCATCAATGAATGCATTTCTTGTTGATGAAAGGCAATGTGGGCTTGTATGTGAGAAGATATCTTAGGTGCTTTTGAAAGGCTCCTTGACCTGCTGGCTTTTCCTAGGGACTTTCTCACCTTAGACATTGAAATAAGGTGAATCTGGCAACTTAATGAAAGAGAGAGTTTAAAGGGAGTACAAGGCAGCATGTTTAAGTAAAAGAAGGAGGGCATGAAAAGCTTCTGGACTCATGAATGGGTAATTTTTTGGAAAATCATTTTTACTTTTATCAGAAAAATTCAGAAATGAATAACAAAAGCAGCTTTTTTCCCCCTTCTTCTGAATATAATGCGTTTTGTTCTCTTGGGGTCTGGGAGGAAGGAAGGAAATCAGTCTGGGTCAGATTAGTGGACCAAGACTGCTTTGCTCCTGTATTGAGGAATCTGGTTCTAGACTTCCTTTGTTGGAGGCAATGACAATTAAATCTTCCTTAAACTAGGTGGGCAAATTAGGAAAAAAAGCCCACCTGTAGTGGCTTTTAAACCCAGAGTGCCATGGACCAACCCCTGGAAGGGACCTTAAAAGCCATAGAGGCCAACTCCCTCCTTTTAAAGATGAGGAAACTAAGGTCCAGAGAGATTGGTACTTGCCTGAGGTCTCAGAGGTCATTAGTGGCAGAGATGGGATTCAAACTAAAGTCCTCCGAGGCCAAAACCAATGCTTTCCCTACTGTTGACTGAGACTTGAGGGAGAGCAGTGTACCAAGCCAGCAGCATGCTGAGTAAGCTGTAAAGGATGATATTGCATCCCACCAGAATATTTGGCATCCTGACAGAGAAGCAACAAGGACTGTCGTTTTGGGTAGGGCGGGGTGAGGGGAGGGAGTAGTGTTGTACTGGGAATGTTCTAAACCTTGGAAATCACAATCCAAGAATAGGCTATCCTTTCTTTTCCCTGGATTGGAAAGCTTTACTTTGGAAGAATGAGGTCTGAGAGACCTGTGCCTGCCAGAAGAGATTTCTCCAGGCTGTGTCCTGTTGGCATTGCTGCTCGTGGGCCTATGTGGAAATGTCTCACTGTGTGGAGTAGGATAACAAACAACAACAGAACCCTACCTTATTAGGCCAACAGGCACTGTTTGTAGTTGCTTTAGGTTGGGAACACTTAGGTAAACTATTCTTTTCTCAGGGATAGGAGATATCTTTCCTACATTTGCATAGCTTTCTCCCTTTGGAAAAATTCAAGAGCAATTAATGTATTAAAACACTTCCTTTACCTCTGAAAGAGAGAAAACAAATTAGCTGGTTGTTAAATATTTGAGAGTAGTGATCATATCTTCCTTGAATCCTCTTGAGAGGAGGGATGGGGTGGTGGGGCGTGGTAGGTGTGTTCAAGTAGCTGCAGAGCTGTCCTTGGGACATTGGAGCAGATTTGTTTTGTGTAATTCTGGAGGTTATATCTGGGTAAAAGTTATGGGGAGGTAGAGTTTAGCTCAATATGAGGAAGACTTTCTGACAGTGGAGGGGGTGGCTTTGTGATACAGTATTTCTTCTGTCACTTGAGGTAGCCAGCCCTTTGATGGCCGAGGCAGGGCTATTATTGTAGGTGCTTCATAAATGTTTGTTACATTGAATTGGTATTGTAAAAGGGATTAATTCGTTCATTGGCCAGCTTTCAGATTCTGTGATTCTCCGACAGTAAAAGTGTATGTTTGTTAACTTTGGGCTTGCACGTTGGCCTCGTAACCTAAATTACAGTGATTTTAGAAAAACAGGCCCTCTTACCCACTGTGATTGTAGAGGATTCTAGTCTCAGAGAAAACAGCACACACCACTCTTAACTTCAGGGTAGGCTGTGCTTTTTCTCTTAATCCAACATGAAAAATCCAGAGCGTGGCCTATGACCTGTGTTATGTTTTAGTGTGTACATACATAAATGTATTTATTTTCCTTTTCAAAAACATTCCATTTTAGAGGTGTGGACTATATTCAGACGAGTGAGGTGAATGTATATTTATAAAACGATGGCCCAGTTTGTTTTGTAGGTATCTGAATAGCCAACAGCTATCCCTGGAGTTAGCTAAGCCTTGCCTTTACTGGGTTATTTCTGTACTATCTTGTGTTATTTTGTTTAAACAAAAGAGAATTATAATTTGAAACTATTAAAACATTGCATAAAGTTCATATCCCATTTCAAGGAAATATAAAGATTATATAGTTTCTTTCATTATGAAGGAATATAAAATATTAAATAATACTTGAAATAAGTGGTCCAGGAGCTGGGGCTTAGATGCTTTTGTTTTACATGGAGAATTTTGTTGTAGTGATCTCTTTTCTGATGGAACACAAAATGTGTCCTCAGTTTACCACATTGAGCTGTACTGTATTACCAACCACTTCCAGAAAAAAAAAGTTTTAAAACCAAGATGTGCATTATTTTGTTTCCTTGGACAAGGGGGTCAGTTCTGGGGCAACATGCCAAGTGCGGCACACTAGGCCTCTGGACTTCCCTTGGTTGGGGTACAGCCTGATCTCTCCCATTCCCGCTCAGGTGGAGAACAGAGATCTTTGCAGCCTGGAAGGAAAGGAGAGATCAGCAGCCAAGTGGAAGCAACACCTCCATCCATGTAAGTTCACATACCTCATTGGTAGGATGATCACAAATTGGAAGAATCACAGAATCTCGGAGTTGGAAGGGGAGGGCAGGGACCTCAGTAATCATGTAGTCTAGCATACTTATTTTGCAGATGAGGTCTAGCAAGTGGAAATCACTTGCCCAGTGAAAGTCACAAGAGAAGTTAATGTCAGAGATAAGACTACAACCCAGGTTTCCAGGCTCCTGGCTTTTCCTTCTTTTTGCTGCAACATAGTATCATCTCCAAGTTCATAAATGTTTTCTTCTCCCCCCCCCCCACTGAAGTTCCAGGGCTTCCTGACATATGATAGATCTATAGGAATTAAAGTTTCTGTTTATCAACCAGGAAGATGGCTTGGCCCTGGGGGGAAAACCTGGGTTTTCTGTATGTTTAAATGACATACTTTTACCTTCTTTTCCTATCCCCCCTTCACTCTTTGCCTTGCCCCTCAATCTCCCCTCCTGCCTCCTAGGTATCCTATGCCCTTATGCTGCCAGTTAATGCCTTCGATTAGACTGTTCCTCTTCCTAATTCAAAATGTGTGTTCCCCTTCCTCAGGGGAACTAATCTGATAAATCAAATAGACTGTAAGGTATGAATGACCCAAAATTACTTAAAGTACATTTTATTTTGGCTACTCCAAGGAATGCATTTCTAGTGGTAGAATTTCAGCCATT